TCATCTACAGGACTACGAAGTTTTAAATTTACTTGGAAAAGGTGGTTTTGCTAGTGTTTACAGAGCAAAATGTTTACGCAATGGAATGGAAGTTGCTATAAAAATGGTAAATAGTTTTCATTTGTTGGGTGATAAATTAAATAAAATTCTTTCTCAATCGAGACGCTTGTCAATTTGAAATCTTTAAGAGTTATAACGTAGTTTTTTATAATTTGATTTTATAGATAGACAAGAATTCAATGCAAGCTGCCGGTATGTCAAACAGAGTTTCTCAAGAAGTAGAAATACACTCTCGTTTGAAACATCCAGCTATTCTAGAAGTATATACATTCTTTGAGAATAATAATTATGTTTACATGATATTAGAATTATGTCACAATGGTGAACTTCAACGTTACTTAAAAATGCAAGAATCTAATGTATTATCTGAACAAGAAGGTAAATGTCAATTTTCTTTTCATATTATTTTATCTTAAAGGAAGTTTTATTCTTTAACGGAATCATTTGTCAATCTATGATGCCTTAAGACTTAAAAAAAAAAAAAAAGAAAAAAAAAATTGGAGCAAAATTGATGACAGTGCTAACATTTGAAATATTTTTTTCTTTATAATTTTCATATATATATATATGTTTATTGTTTAAGCTGGAAATATCATAGCACAGGTCGTACAAGGTCTGTTATTTCTACATTCTCATTTGATACTTCACAGAGATATATCATTGTCAAATTTATTATTAACTAAGAATATGCAAGTGGTATGTAAAAGAATATTAATAGATTTTTTTGTTTTTTTTTTTTTATATGGTATATCTAAATATAATTAATATAATTAAAATTTTATAGAAAATTGCTGATTTTGGATTAGCGACGCAATTAAAAAGACCAGATGAAAAACATTTGACTATGTGCGGTACACCTAATTATATATCACCAGAAGTAATTTCAATAAATTTAATATATATATATATATACATATATATTTATTAATATATATAATATATGAAAAATAAATATATTAAATTTATTTCAAGGTTGCAACTAGATCATCGCATGGTTTGGCAGCAGATGTTTGGAGTTTAGGATGTATGTTGTATACTCTTTTAGTAGGTAAACCTCCATTTGATACAGACGCTGTAAAGAGTACCTTGACACGAGTAGCAATGGCTGATTATGTTATGCCAACCAATTTGTCTAACAACGCTAAAGATCTTATAGATAAATTATTGAAAAAGAATCCAAAGGAAAGGATTCATTTAAGAGATGTCCCAAAGCATCCATTTATAACAAGTTTGAAAACAAATCAAACATGTAGTATAAGTGTTAGTAAAAGTTTTTATAAACCAAAAAAAAAAAAGAAGTAAACTTAATCTTATTAAATTAAAAATATTAATTTAAGATATTAATAAAGAATATTTTTCTTTTTTTTTTTTTTTTTTTTATTTCTTCTTCCAATAAATAGGGAAGACATGAGAGGATCGGTATAGATAGAGTATTATTAGGAGAAGGCATGATTGATTCTGGAGTGGGTAGAACATTATCTTCTTATAGCCAAGCTAGGATGCGTTCTCGTTCAGAAGAACGTATATGTACAACCCCCATGATATATGATGGATTTGGACCTATGATAAGTGCAAGAAGTAAAGCTCTATCTGAACCAATTACAAAAATGCATTCATTACAAAGAAAACAATTTATGGATTATATTCCAAAAACAGATTCTGTACTTTATGACATATCACCAGGTCAATCAAGCAGAATATTTTCACAGAATGTTCAACAGAGTAATTGTGAATCGTGTCATGAAAATAGAAGACAAAAAGTGATTGAAAAACAAAAACGAAAGGAAAAAAGTAACGAACGTTTGTGTAATCCAGAAATTAATGAAGAAATTAATAAATTACAAGTATCACCATTAAATTCTGAACGATTACAACCTACAAGGCATAGAACAAAAACAGCGATACTCACTATTCTTGATAATGGTGAAGTTTGTATAGAATTTATTAAAAGAAGAAATGGAATAGTATGTTTATTTTACATTAATTATAATTCTTTCTTTCTCTCTCTCTCTCTCTCTTTAAAAATGTTTAAATTAAAGGAATATCTTTTTTTCTCTCTCTTTTTTTTTTTTTTTTTTCTAGGAAAAAATAAACGAAGTGTGTAGAATTTCAGGTGACGGTTTAAGAGTGATACTTTATAAACCAGTTTCCTTGTTAGAAATTGGTTCGCAACCCCCACCATTACCAAGTTACGGTGCTGACAATATTTATTCATATGAAAATTTACCACCGCGTCATCATAAAAAATATATTTATGCTTCTCGTTTTGTCAAACTCGTCAGAGCTAAAACTCCAAAGGTGACGTTATACACGCAACGTGCTAAATGTTTATTCATGGAAAATGGTCCACATCCTGATTGCGAAGTGCACTTTTATAATGGTTGCAAAGTAATATCTTTATTTATTTTCATACAAATTATTGAGATATTTTTATTCGAACTTGAAAAAAAAAAAAAGAATTTTTTTTTATTTCTAACATGTAACAGGTTACACGTGTCGATGGTGCTGTAAAGATTACAGAGGATAGTAACACATATGTCGAAGGTGAATTTCCTACGCATTTGGATGAATTCTATGAACATTATTCTGATAGCTACAAACGTTGTTTGCTATTAGAATCCACTTTACAATCTTTGGAAACGGCAACAGGTCATTCATACTTTCCTGTAATAATTGGACGTAGGCCTTGTTCGGCCTTGAATGATGCTCCTTGTTTACAAGGGAAAGAGAACGTTTCACATACCACTAATAGTACACCTGTTGTTAGTAAAATATATTTTGTATTGTTTAAAAGAAATTTAATTGATAATAATTCATTTAAAATTCTAAACTTTTTTTTTTTTTTTAGATGCCATCGTTCGACGCCATTTATTCGGCAGTATCAACGACAACATCACGTTCGAGAAAAATTAATTCTGTTTATAGTACAAATTGTGATATAGAAAAAGTAACAATACCAGGAATTGGTATTGCCATAAAATTACCATCTGGAGATATTAAAATAGATTACAAGGATGGATCCTCTTTAACTGTAAATAATTATTTACTTAAAAAAAAAAAAAAGAAAAAGAGAAAAATTAATGCGTTTTTTTTTTTTTTTTTTTTTTTTTTTTTAATAATAATACTTCTTAAATGTGATTATAGGTAATAACGCAAGGTTACGGTGGTGGTATTAAGTATGAAACAAATAACGGTAAGGTCTTCAAATATAGTCAAAAGTGTCAACAAAATATGGAAGTACCATATGTGGTAAAAGAAAAATTAAGAGATGTCCCAACGATTATTAAACATCTTGTGCAACCTAAGCACAAAAATTTAAGATAATTTACAATTTTTAAGGATATATATATATGTATAAGAAAAAGAGTGAAAGAGAGAGAGAGAGAGAAAAAAAAAGAGAAAGAGAGGAGAGAGAGTGAGTAGATATATTTTTTGTATAGTAATTTTAAGTTAGCTGAAGATTTAAAAAAAAAACAAAAAGGATGAGGTGGAGAGATATAAAGGGATGTCGCTATTGTTTTTCTTTTTTTTTTTTTCTTTTTTTTTTTGTAATCTTATTAAAACTATATTTTAATTAAAACATTTAAGAAATTGTAGAATAATGTCTTTTATATATTACGTAATAAAATTATATCAAATCAATCGATGTGTATGAATGAATATCGTTGTGAACACATCGTAAAGAAAAAATGATTTCAGTTTTAATGATTAATATTTTTTCTTTCTTTCTTTTTAATTCTTCTAACGACATCTTTTTTCAACTTCACCTAAACGCGTACTAAATGTGTATATATATATATATTTTTTTTTTCCCTAATGCGGTTCTTTTTATTTTATTTTTATTTCTCATTTTTTAATACACACACATATATATATATATTTTTTTTTTTCGATTTCTTTATTATTTTTTTTTCAAATTAATATAAAAACGAGATAAGCAAAATGAAGAATAAGATTCTATACGTAGTAAAAAAAAAAAATGTATCTATGATTCTTAAATAGTTTTAATGATCAATAATGATCAATATATATTGTAGATATATTTTTAATCATCGATGAAATATTTTATATGCCAATTAAATACTTGGATCTAATTATATATAAAATATAATCATCGATGAATTATTTCTTATATATATGCAATAAATTTGAATGAAACATTTACAAGATTCGTCATTAATCATTGACGAATTTTTTTATATGTAATTGCATTAGATCATCGACGAATTATTTCCATATAAATATATATATATATGGAATTTATTACTACTTTTAAATCGAACATTTTCGTTGATACGTAAATGTTAATAATAAGAAATATATATATACATATATATATATATAATAAATAAAAATAAAATCAATATATAGATAGAAATAGCAATTAAACAATTAATGATTAAATAAAAAACATTAAATCAAATTTATTTAATTAACAATTTAACCTAAAATAAAAATATAATTTTTAATTGGGTTAGATGATAATAATAATAATAATAATAATAATAATAATAATAATAATAATAATAGTAATAGTAATAATATATTTCATAATTGTTAATGATTAATTCGTTCAAATATTATCCAACATTACCATTCGATTAAAAGCTAATTCGATTTAAAGCTAATTTCAACTTACGCATGTGACGTATGTGACATTAGCGCCACAGGTACGGACAAAAAAAGAACTAAAACAGTAACGAGGAAATACTGTTCTAACCATAAACCCCCCACCCCACTTCATTATGCAGCTATTATTACATATTACTACATATGGTATAATATATATATGACTGTGTAGTTTATATCCATCTTATGCATAGTAAGAATAGATAAAAATAAATAAAAATACAAAAAGAAAAAAAAAAAAAGAAAAAAAAATCAAAACTTTTTTCAGTGCGTTTCTTTAAGAATTTATTTTACAATTCTATTATATTTCTTTCTAATTTATTTCTCTTACCTAATGAATTATGATTATCTAACGAAAATCATTAAAAGGTATTTAATCAAAATTAAAATCGAAAGAAGGATTTTGGAAATGCGCTGAAATGTGCAACCATTCCCTCGATATTACTTACCATATCGAATTAGATTTTGATATAAATCGCAAGAAATATCGACCCAAGTCTTACCACGTGGAGGTTGCTGCATCTGAAGATCCTAAGTAATCTATCATAAAAACATATTAATAAATATCAAAAAATTATAGAACGCAACCCTAATTCTAAAATCTGAAAATAAATCGATGAATTCTAATGGTTAAATTCTTATGTAACCTCAAAAAAAGAAAAAAAAAGAAAAAAAAAGAAAAAAAAAGAAAAAAAAGAAAGAAAAACAATCTGAGATCTTCGAAACAAAAAGTTAATCGTGATAAACTCTCAATGTTCTTCAATCAATTAATTAATTGATTAATTACAAACGATCTCGTTCGCGCTGATTCAAGTCTTTTGTCATCGACATGATTGAGGTTATGATCGGAGAAATACTTGAAAAAAAAAAAATTTACTACTTACTACTTAAGAAGTTCTACGATGACAGTTGAAAAACAATCGTCCACGATTTATGATCGATATTCTGCTGGAGATTTATTTCGTAGCTGGTTGACAATGAAATGTCGAAGTTGATAAAGATATATCTTCTTTAATGGATGCTAACGAAAATTGATTCTAATGCGATCTCATTGCACGCAATCGATGCAAAAATATTTATCGTTTAATTCGCGATTAAATAATACGAACAGATTTTTTTTCTTTTTTTTTTTTTTACGGTATAAACACTCAATATCGTTCTTCTGAAAGAAATGGAAAAAAAAATCTCAAAGAAAATTATTATCTTATTATATAAAATCGTTTAAATTATTGCGAAAATGTTTGATATAAAAATGTTTTAATTTACCTTATTAAATCCTCGCCGACATTGTTACAAGATTATGATCGAGAGGAATTAAAAGTAAATTAATGTAAAATAATTGAAATGTTAAATTGTTTAAGCTTTATTCAAATGTCACAAACGTGAAGAAAATTACGACGTTCATTCATTGAAATCTAAAAGAAAACTAATTCGATAACTGGCTAAAGTCAATTGAACGTTTCATTTTTATTCCACGTTATATACAAGCAATGACTTTGCGTTCAAAATTTATGTTTATTCAAATATTACATTAAAATTATTTTATAATTAACCTATGTCACGGGTTATCTATCGTTTAAATAAATAAATTATTTGCTTAAATATTAATTCATTATATTCTACGTACATCATATATCGTTTAAATAATTATAAATTAATCGAAAATATTAATTATTTAAGGTTAGCCGTATGAAAAGAGAGAGCTTCGATGTTCACTCGCCGAGGTGTAATAGAAAACTAACCTACGTACTAACAAAATCAATTGAGCGTTCGTTCTTTGTTGATATCGATTGTAAACAACGATCGCGTACTCGAAATATAAAATTATTATTGATACGTGTATTGAATTAAAATTATTTTATATTTGATACGTTTTACGTTTGAATGAATATATAATATGTGAAATTATTTAAATTATTTAATATGACGTTTACTCATTGAAATATAAAAGAAGATTTTTACGATAATTATCGATTATTCGAGATTTCGTTTTTGATAATTATATGATTTTTAAATAAAAAGAAATGCATTTTTTTTCTTTTTTAAATCAAATATACAGAGCTTTAATCATTGTAAAATATTATTATTATTATTATTATTATTATTATTATTATTATTTTTATCAATTATTATTAATTTAATTATTAATTTTAGTAGAGTAGTACGTGTAATGATAGGCTATCTTTATTTTCTAAAGTTTTACTATCTAATTTAATTAACACTCAAAGAGAAATAAAAATATACACACACACATATTTATTTGTAAAAATAGATATACAATTATGACATTAAGATAAAACTAACAAAAAAATAATTTCAGCTTATTAAACAAATTCTCTATTTAACGGACACATATACAGACGCACGTACACACACACACACACACACACACACCAGAGAGAGACACGCGCACCTATACGCTTTATACTTAATTGAAACATTTTATACGAAAATTAATAGAGTAGGGTTAGAAAGCTTCTTCTCTTTTACCGCGAAATTCAAAGAGAGTTATTATATGAAACTTTTTCCCTTTTATTTGTTTTTCTTTCCATTTGAAAAATATCTATCAAAAAACAGCATTTACGTCAACAATGAGTAATTCTTGATTGATTTTTATTTTAACAAGATTTTATTTTCAAAAACGAAGGTTTTCAGCGAAACACGATTTTTTTCGAACTTCTTGGAGAGAAAAAACAAAAAAACGAGTTTTGTTTTTATTTTTTTTTCTCTTTTTTTTTTTTCTTGAAGAAAATAAAACTTTTACGAAAAATGAAAAAAGAAATAAATTTCTTCCTCGAAATCGGTCAATAATTTTATACCACTGTATTCGTTAATTGACACAAATCATTATTATAAAACCAGGAATAATGAAATCCACCATGGTCGCCATATTACTCGGCCATATTTGATTTCGTAAGTATTACAATATTTTCTCTTATTTAGGATCAAATTTGGGTTATTAAAAGAAAAAAAAAAAAAAAGAAAAAAGAAATGAATAAATAAATATAAAAAAAAAAAAAGTTAAAAAAAAAGAAGAAGAAAGAAAAACATCATATCATTTTGAATTTGCGAATTTATCGTCTTACGCAGTTTATGCATGTGTATATAAATTTTTTTTATAAAATAAAGAAAAAAAAAATATATACATATATTTTTTAAAATATATATCTATATTTTTGTTTATATATATATATATATATATATATATATATATATATATATATATATATATATATAAACAAAAAATTATTTTGCAATCAAAAATAAACGTACACAGATGGTCCTGGTCATCGTCGTCTTCGTCGTCGGACGTGGTCGTAGACGATTGTCGAACAAAAGACGAACTGTCAGAATCAAAAAATTACTTGACGAAGTAAATAAGATAACGTGACGTGTTAAAGGTCAATTAGAAAAGACAAGTGGGATGTCATTCACTAAAACAGGCGTTCACCATTTTATCGAGATCTCAATTAAGGTTCCGAGTTTGTAATCTTGAGAATAGGAACAATCCTAACCTCTCTATATCGCTGTTAACATGGGTAAGCATTTGCAATATGTTATCTTTAAATTTATATATATATCCGTATAAAATATATTATTAACCGATAATACGTTCACTTCGAACGTTTTCGTCGTACTGAAATCGATAAAGTTACAAGTTCTGTTAAATGCATTATTTTTTTTTTTTCCTAATCTTATCTATGAGTAAGTCTTGAATGGTTGACTCATTGATGAATCCAATCATTCTTGTCATAGTTGTAACATAGACATTGTATATTTTATTTTATAATAATGTCGGAAAATAGATTAAATGAGATCTCTGAATTTTTACCATTGCGTAGAAATTTTCTAAGTGACATAAGTTTAGGAAGATATTCAGAACATAGCCTGTATGAAAGTCATTTAGAAAATAAATCTTATCGTAAGTTTCATTATATCTTAACCCAATCATTTATATATATATATATATATATATATATATATATATATATATATAAGAAAACATTAATTTTTAGTCAATGATAAAATGACAATATTATTGTTGATAATTAAGATTAAATGTTATTTCATTTTAGGAAACATGTGCAATGATTGTATGGCCAGAGTGCCTTATGCAACTCTTATAGCAACTATTATGTGTTGTTTGGGTGTTGGAATATTTTGTGGCACTATGTACAGAGGTGTTACTATATGTTCTCTTATGATGGATCAGGTATATATATATATATGTTATTTGTTTTATAACCTCTAAATATTTTAAATATTAGGTTGGAAACTATGAAATGGGCGTTGAATGAAAATAAAAAAAAACTAAACAAAAAACCGCCCCTTTCATAATTTCCAACCTAATACTTATATATTAGGTTGGAAACTATGAAACGGGCGTTGAATGAAAATAAAAAAAAAAACTAAACAAAAACTGCCCGTTTCATAGTTTCCAACCTAATAGCATTGATGTTAAAATATATAATATATATATATATTTTCATATTAATATTTTTCAAAGGTATTTCATTTGAGACTTGGCTGGTTAGAAGCATTACAATTGGTTCTTGCTATAATAGGAGCTAGCATGGCTGCTTTAGGCTTCATGATTTTATGCGTTGGTTGTCTTGCAACAGGTGCAACAAGACATAAAGTATATAGAGCATGGCGATCTAGAGTAGGAGGTCGAATTTCATGTGCTGTTGTGAGTAGATATTATATATTTTCTTATTTATGCATTTTATCATAAACTTCATGAACCAATTAAATATATAGATTGAATTTTTTTTCAGTTCATGACCATTACATACGTATCGCAATTGATCTGGCTTGTTATATTTGCAATTTTAATTGTAATCACATTTCTGTTTACTATATTTTGGGGATTGTGCAGTAATCCTCGTGTTCAGTCTCTCGATCAATGCATCGATTTTACTCAATTCAGTAAGCTATTGTACATTTTCATTCTATCTTTTTTTTTCTATATATAAATAATATAAGCTTAATATATAATATAATAAATATATAAATAATGTAAGCTTAACGATACGATAGAATAATTTATTTCTTATTTATATATATATATATATATATTTTTTTTTTTTTTTATATAGGTTTTCTATTTCCAAATAATACAAGAACGGAAGACATGAAAGTTTGCGGATCTCAAGAAGTCAAACTCTTTTGTAAAGATTTCGTTCAAAATGCAGAAGTGATGTTTATTTTGGCAACAATTGCCGCAATATTGGCAATCCTAAGTTTAACGCATTATTTAATGTGTTTGTCTGCCAATTATGCGCACATACGTGATCATGAAAAATTTCAAGAATTACAAGAATTACAATATCTTCAAGATCCTGGTGATCCAGATTCTCCGCAACCTGGAATGGGAACTTTAAGCTCTCATCATCATGCTAAAGATAGATTCTAGGATACAGCCCGTGAGATCTTCGCTATGAATCCATTATAACGTTGACTGCTTCTATCCTATAGAAGCTTATAAAAATTCAGAACTGGATTGACAACATTAATTCATTAATCTTTCATTGTACCTATTACTCAGTATTCTACTTATCGAATATTAGTCGCAGTAGTTTACTGATTCAGAGGATCTTGCGGGAATACTCTATGCCGTCCATTAATCTGCGACTGTCTTGTAAGCATTTTATTTTTTTTTACATTCCTTAAGTTTTTCTTTTTCCTTTTTTTTTTGTTTTTTTTTTTGTATATCGTTTAATAGTATATTATCATTTATTTTAATTTTTATTTTTCAATATTTTTTTATTATAATAAGTAATCTATAAAAGATACAATGATTAATGACTTCAGAGATATATAATCTATGAATGTTATATAAAACTCGACAATATATTATTAAGATAGAAAGAGATATATGCACAAAGTATTCATAAAAATGAATAGACATATCCTGAAAAATATATCTCATATTTTATTATATTATAAATTATTCCAAGTAATCATTTTATTTCGCTACCTTCTCTTTTATTTTTTTTTTGTTTTTTACTTGTTATTATTTGTGTGTTCATTAAATTAAAATTATTATTATTTTATATATATATATATAACAATTTCTTTTTTTTTTAGTAAATTCTAAAAAGTATATATATTACAGTCATAAAAAATTTAAGAAATAATGATTCTCAAAATAGTATATTTTATTGATGAATAATTATATATATATATATTATATGTTATATATATATATATATATTGACACATATATATATTGTCTTTATAATAATCATCTATTAGTGTATTAATCAATACAAAGCACAATTTCAATAATAATTAATAATGAAAGGACAATATAATTTAATATAAAGAAATACTTGGGTGTGCAAAAAGTGCCAAATTATTAATGAAAAAAATTGAATTATTAAAAAAGAAAAGAAATAAATAACATGTTTATTGAATGTTAATGTTTAAAAAGATAAAGGAAAAAAAAAAAAAAAGAAAAGAGAGAAATTTTTTAATAATATACATATAAAACTAAGTCTGACTTATGGATATTTCTTTGCCTACTTGATTTATTAATACACACACACACACACACAAACACACACACACACACACACACACATTTGTGTGTTTTAATTTTGAGAAATATATATTTATATGTATTATATTCTATAATGACTTAACTAACAGACTGATTATATGTATTACATATTCAGTACAAAATTAATTTTTATTATTACATTATAAATATGTAATGTAAAGAGAGTTGCACATCGATTTGGTAAATTAAATTATATCAATTAATTTTGTTTCTTATACTTTATATATATATATATATATATATATATATATATATATATATATATATATATATATATATATACGGTTTAAAAGCACTTGTATATTATGATGTATTACAAAAATAAAAAAAAGATAAAAAGAAAGAGAAAAGAAAAAAAAATAAAAGAAAAGAAATAATTAAGTTGAACATAATGCATAAGAATTTTTGAACAATTATATTTCCAAGTAATCATTGGTATAAACAAATTTAATTTATTATTATTATTATTATTATTATTATTATTATTATTTTTTTTTTTTTTTTTTTTTTATTTACAATTATCACTTTCATTTTGTACAGATATTTAATTGGTTTGTATATACTCGTCATCAAATTGAAAATCCAATTCGAGATCGAGCGCACTGATTTCTTGCAGTGTGTTAATAAATGTATATCGTGAAAATATCATATATAATTTTCTATACCAAACATATTGAGACTTGTGTGCTTTCATGGCGTTCTATAAAGTGAGAAAAATATATCTTTAATATTCGGGGGAAGAAAAAAAAAAAAAAAAAAACAGAAAACTAACAAAAGGAAAAATTTTTTCATATTTGCTTGTTAGAAAAATTTTTTGTGAATATATTCGAACTTACTCTTATATTTTTTCTTTGTTCATACGTAAGTAAATACCAATATGATGCAGAAAGTAAACTGATTGGTAAATCTAAGAGCTGTACATATTTTCTAGCAATGTTCACAGATTCCAACGCATATAACTTGCAATCTGCAATTCATTTGCACTACTCGTTATTCACAATTGGTTATTGTTAAATTAATTATAATTAAATATTAATGATACTAACAAGTTGGGACTTTTTTTTCAATACATAAAGCAGCAATTGCAAAATAGAGAGAGATATGATTTTTATGCTTGCTTACACCATATTTATCAAAAGTAATAACAGCATCAATCTTATAGCTCTCTATATAATGTAATATACTTTCAGCTAAAACATCGACAGGCCATTTTATAGATTGACTGTCCGGTAATTCGCTGCTCCTATACATTAATTTATCAATTTGATAATTGTTGATGAAATTTATATGAAACGCGTTGATAAATACTATTACTTACATTATAATTGTAACATTTGCTTCTGGTATACCGAGTAATTTCGTACAATTCCATAATTCTTCTTTCCTCTGTTTATTTCCACCTACAATAAGACTTATAAACATCAATAGATACAATGTTTGTGCACTCAACTTGTAACTATTTCAATAAACATTTCAATTAAATTATATATAATATTATAAAATAATTCTATATAAATATATATATATATATATATATAAATATATATATACCAAAAGAAAAGCATAGTAGATATATATTGCTGATCTCTGATCGAGTGACCCAATATATCATAGGTCCAAAAAACATAACTTCATCATCTGGATGAGCAGTAACTAATAATATTCTACGGGGAGGACCAGGAAGTTGCCACGCACTATGATTAACTCTTTTTAAGATTACATAGAAAAATATACAAACGCAAATGTACGCGAGAAAAGCTATTAACAATTGCCAAGAAATTTCTTTGATATAATAATACCACCAACAAACTAATTCATTAATTTGATCATTCAAGTATTCTTTTATTAAATCAATATCTAATAATTCTAACATCCACATATTTATATTTGATAATTTTTTAAATAAACATATATATATATATATGTATATATATATATATATATATATATGTATATGTACAAATATAAATATTAACTTCTAATATAAAAAATTAAAATAGAAATCATTTGGTTGAAATATTGAGGTTATGTTATTATTGGTAATTCTTATAACTAACTTTGACTTTTATACAGATGACATCTTATCATTCTTTTACGATAATTAATAATTAATATCTTTTTTTGTTGAATGCACATCGCGACGTATAAATTTATATATTTTGTTTACTACTAAATAAGTGTGAAATAATATTTGTCAAATTATATAATCTGATTGATATTAAAGATTTTAAAGTTATGATATGTTATTTATATAACACTTAAATGATTCACGAATTTTTAATATAAATAATCTTTAATTGCGTGAGCATTGTGTAATCTTTTTGCGAACGAGGTAAGGATTTAAAATATTTTTTATAACAAGGATACCACCATCTTAAACAATAACTTTAATCTTATCTTTCGTTCAATCGATGAAAGTTGTAGACGGCGCTATGGCATCACAAAAGAGCCTATCAGAAGGTTACAGATGGCGCTGTAGTATTAAGAAATAACCAATCAGAAGGTTGCAGATGGCGCTGTTGTATTAACCAGCGGCCAATTAGAAGATTTCAGATGGTACTGTATTACTATGCGTATTATTACTTTACTACGAAATATAGTGTCAAAGTAAGTGGTAATTGTTTGTTATGTGTTTGTCTTTTGAAGAAAAATTAATAATAATTATTACAAGTTATATCACGTAGAAACATATGTCATTATTATTAATGCATTTACTTAATTATTATGTATATATTTTACAGAATGGATTGACGTCTTTTACAAATATATCTTTGAAGAGGTTAGATGACAAAGATTATGTGAATAACATCGAAAAGTTGGCTAGATAAATATACTAATTCCACGATGGTTAGTAAAGATGGAAAGATAGATCTGTATCGTGATACTCCTATAAGATATTTAGGTAATATTAATGAAATTATTAATCAATGTCATTTCAATATTTATTAATCGTTTCAACTTTTCTTCTGCTGTTTACAATTTCATTGATTAGAAAATATTACATTTAATAAATAAAATCGATATTATTCATTCCATTCAATTGATATTATTCGTTATATTATTATATTAGGTTATTATTATATTAGGTTATGCTAATGAAGTCGGAGAGGCATTTCGACACATGATTCCAAGATCTGTTGTATGGTTAACTTATGTTATTTCTTCTGGTTATGTCTTAGCTGATACGATAGATAAAGGTTATCACGTGTATCAGGTAAAATGGTTTTATCTGTTATTAAAATTAAAAAAAAAATATATATATATATACATATATGTATATATTTAAAATCGTTTTTATTTACAGAATGATCAAACTTCGCAAAAGATGAAACATGTTATGCTATCAACTGCGGACACTTTATTATGGCAATCATTTGCATCCGTCATAATTCCAGGTTTTACTATTAACAGACTTTGTGTGGCAGTACAATATGCACAAAAAAATGCAACTAACTTAATTTTAAAGAATCCTTGGTTACCGACGATTGTCGGTTTATTATCTGTACCGCTTATAGTACATCCTATAGATTATGTCGTAGAAGAAACGATGAATACTACTTATAGAAAATGGATCGATCATTATCCCAAACGCAATAATGACAAAGCTAGAGATGATAAATAAGAAAAAAAAAAAAAAAAAAAAAAAAAAAAAAAAAAAAAACAAGCGGGGGAAAAGAAAAAGAAAAAGAAAAGGCAAAGCAATAATTCAATATAAGTGCACTTTAATATTCCGAGTACAATAATTGGTCTTATCGATCTTTATACGCTTTTTTTTTCTTTTTTTTTTTTTTTTTTTTTTTTTTAGGTTATATGAATACGACTTAAGGTATGAATAAAATTAAATAACGATAAAACATTGTAAATTGTAATATCGGAATCGATGAAATTTCATGATACAAATATATTTAATATTTATGCGATTATCAGAGTTTCATGCTCTTGACGCACAATAAAACAATGTGTTCAACGTGTTCTAACGTATTTGGGAATATTCATTAGTTTTTATTTTGTTAAAAAAAAAGTCTCTTCTTCCTTTCTTTTACTCTTCTTTTTTTTCTTTTTCTTTTTTTTTTTCTTTTTCTTTTCTTTTTTTTTTCTCTTTCTTTTTGTACAATCCAATACGATTCAGTATAACGTCGTTCGCTTTAGCATTGTGATTGATAGAGATTTATTATAAATGTGAATACGTTCGTTAATCACGGATATAGATTTTCCTTTTATTTAATATTTTATTTTATCAACGATAAATTAATATTATCAAGTAAAGCGGAATAATCGACGAATCGAATTTTTTGTACGATTCGAATGTTATTCATTTGTCGTATTGTATTTATCGTTTTTAACGAATACGACGTGGACGAACGAATTGCCTGTCATACCACAGTATGACAAACATTTATATATATATATATATATATATATATATATATATATATATATGTATGTATGTATGTTGTATATATATATATTTCTTTTTTTTTTTTATTCCTCTTGTGACAGATTTTTTTTTCCTTCCATCAGCGTTACAATCAACGTGTCAATCAAGAAGAAAAAGTGATCGTATTTCTTTTGAAAAATTGACGGTAGATGGATTGGTAATAGAAACGCGCAAATGAGAAATGCCTTTACGACGATAAATATAAATATTAGTTTCCAAGCGCTTATTAAAATTTTAACATTATGTACAAGAAGAAATAGAAAAAAAAGAGAAGAAAAAAAAGAAATAGAAAAAGAAAGAGAAAAAGAACAAAAAATTGAGAATTAAGAAAAAAAAAAGAAATAATAATAATAATAATAACAATAATAATAATAATAATAATAATAATAATAATAATAATAAAAATTAGTTCAATTCCACAAAAGAAAGAGAAAGAATAATTCGTTTTTTAACCGTGGACCACAGGAGACACACATGGAACAAATGGGGATCTTTTTTAACGACCTGTGCCACCGGTGACCCACGGTTTTAAAAAAGATCCAGTCAGTCCATGTGGGTCATCTGTGGCCCACGGTTAAAGAAAAGTCCTTTCAGGCCACCTGGGTCACCAGTGGCCAACAGTTTTTGTACCTGTCCGTTCAGGCCACCGTGGTCACCGGTGGGCCCCGGTTTTGTACCCGTCCGTTCAGGCCACGTGGGTCACCGGTGGCCCACGGTTTTTTTTCTTGTCAGTTCAGGCCACGTGGGTCACCGGTGGCACAGGGAGTTAAAAAAGATCCCCATTCGGCCCACGTACGTCACCTGTGGCCCACGGTTAAACATAAGTCCGTTTTGGCCACGTGGGTCAGCTGTGGCCCACGATTTCAAAAATGATCCATTGAGTCCATGTGGGTCACCTGTTGCCCACGATTTTTAAAGAAGTCTGTTCAGGCCACGTGGATCATCTGTGGCCCACGGTTAAAGAAAAGTCCGTTCTGGCCGCGTGGGTCATATGAGGCCCACGATTTTTCTTCTCGTCTTTTCAGGATACGTGGATCACGTGTGGCCCACGGTTTTAAAAATGATCCAGTCAGTCCATGTTGGTCAGCTGTGTCCCACGGTTAAAGAAAAGTCCTTTCAGGCCACCTGGGTCATCAGTGGCCAATAGTTTTTGTACCTGACCGTTCAGGCCACCGTGGTCACCGGTGGGCCCCGGTTTTGTACCCGTCCGTTTAGGCCACGTGGGTCACCGGTGGCCCACGGATTTTTTTCTTGTCAGTTCATGCCACGTGGGTCACCGGTGGCCCAGGGAGTTAAAAAAGATTCCCATTCGGCCCACGTACGTCACCTGTGGCCCACGGTTAAACATAAGTCCGTTTTGGCCACGTGGGTCAGCTGTGGCCCACGATTTCAAAAATGATCCATTGAGTCCATGTGGGTCACCTGTTGCCCACGATTTTTAAAGAAGTCTGTTCAGGCCACGTGGATCATCTGTGGCCCACGGTTAAAGAAAAGTCCGTTCTGGCCGCGTGGGTCATATGAGGCCCACGATTTTTCTTCTCGTCTTTTCAGGATACGTGGATCACGTGTGGCCCACGGTTTTAAAAATGATCCAGTCAGTCCATGTTGGTCAGCTGTGTCCCACGGTTAAAGAAAAGTCCTTTCAGGCCACCTGGGTCACCAGTGGCCTATAGTTTTTGTACCTGTCCGTTCAGGCCACCGTGGTCACCGGTGGGCCCCGGTTTTGTACCCGTCCGTTCAGGCCACGTGGGTCACCGGTGGCCCACGGTTTTTTTTCTTGTCAGTTCATGCCACGTGGGTCACCGGTGGCCCAGGGAGTTAAAAAAGATCCCCATTCGGTCTACGTACGTCACCTGTGGCCCACGGTTAAACATAAGTCCGTTTTGGCCACGTGGGTCAGCTGTGGCCCACGATTTCAAAAATGATCCATTGAGTCCATGTGGGTCACCTGTTGCCCACGATTTTTAAACAAGTCTGTTCAGGTCACGTGGATCATCTGTGGCCCACGATTAAAGAAAAGTCCGTTCTGGCCGCGTGGGTCATATGAGGCCCACGATTTTTCTTCTCGTCTTTTCAGGATACGTGGATCACGTGTGGCCCACGGTTTTAAAAATGATCCAGTCAGTCCATGTGGGTCAGCTGTGTCCCACGGTTAAAGAAAAGTCCTTTCAGGCCACCTGGGTCACCAGTGGCCTATAGTTTTTGTACCTGTCCGTTCAGGCCACCGTGGTCACCGGTGGGCCCCGGTTTTGTATCCGTCCGTTCAGGCCACGTGGGTCACCGGTGGCCCACGGTTTTTTTTCTTGTCAGTTCATGCCACGTGGGTCACCGGTGGCCCAGGGAGTTAAAAAAGATCCCCATTCGGTCTACGTACGTCACCTGTGGCCCACGGTTAAACATAAGTCCGTTTTGGCCACGTGGGTCAGCTGTGGCCCACGATTTCAAAAATGATCCATTGAGTCCATGTGGGTCACCTGTTGCCCACGATTTTTAAAGAAGTCTGTTCAGGCCACGTGGATCATCTGTGGCCCACGGTTAAAGAAAAGTCCGTTCTGGCCGCGTGGGTCATATGAGGCCCACGATTTTTCTTCTCGTCTTTTCAGGATACGTGGATCACGTGTGGCCCACGGTTTTAAAAATGATCCAGTCAGTCCATGTTGGTCAGCTGTGTCCCACGGTTAAAGAAAAGTCCTTTCAGGCCACCTGGGTCACCAGTGGCCTATAGTTTTTGTACCTGTCCGTTCAGGCCACCGTGGTCACCGGTGGGCCCCGGTTTTGTACCCGTCCGTTCAGGCCACGTGGGTCACCGGTGGCCCACGGTTTTTTTTCTTGTCAGTTCATGCCACGTGGGTCACCGGTGGCCCAGGGAGTTAAAAAAGATCCCCATTCGGTCTACGTACGTCACCTGTGGCCCACGGTTAAACATAAGTCCGTTTTGGCCACGTGGGTCAGCTGTGGCCCACGATTTCAAAAATGATCCATTGAGTCCATGTGGGTCACCTGTTGCCCACGATTTTTAAACAAGTCTGTTCAGGTCACGTGGATCATCTGTGGCCCACGATTAAAGAAAAGTCCGTTCTGGCCGCGTGGGTCATATGAGGCCCACGATTTTTCTTCTCGTCTTTTCAGGATACGTGGATCACGTGTGGCCCACGGTTTTAAAAATGATCCAGTCAGTCCATGTGGGTCAGCTGTGTCCCACGGTTAAAGAAAAGTCCTTTCAGGCCACCTGGGTCACCAGTGGCCTATAGTTTTTGTACCTGTCCGTTCAGGCCACCGTGGTCACCGGTGGGCCCCGGTTTTGTATCCGTCCGTTCAGGCCACGTGGGTCACCGGTGGCCCACGGTTTTTTTTCTTGTCAGTTCATGCCACGTGGGTCACCGGTGGCCCAGGGAGTTAAAAAAGATCCCCATTCGGTCTACGTACGTCACCTGTGGCCCACGGTTAAACATAAGTCCGTTTTGGCCACGTGGGTCAGCTGTGGCCCACGATTTCAAAAATGATCCATTGAGTCCATGTGGGTCACCTGTTGCCCACGATTTTTAAACAAGTCTGTTCAGGTCACGTGGATCATCTGTGGCCCACGATTAAAGAAAAGTCCGTTCTGGCCGCGTGGGTCATATGAGGCCCACGATTTTTCTTCTCGTCTTTTCAGGATACGTGGATCACGTGTGGCCCACGGTTTTAAAAATGATCCAGTCAGTCCTTGTGTGTCAGCTGTGTCCCACGGTTATAGAAAAGTCCTTTCAGGCCACCTGGGTCACCAGTGGCCAATAGTTTTTGTACCTGTCGGTTCAGGCCACCGTGGTCACCGGTGGGCCCCGGTTTTGTACCCGTCCGTTCAGGCCACGTGGGTCACCGGTGGCCCACGGTTTTTTTTCTTGTCAGTTCAGCCCACGTGGGTCACCGGTGGCCCAGGGAGTTAAAAAAGATCCCCATTCGGCCCACGTACGTCACCTGTGGCCCACGGTTAAACATAAGTCCGTTTTGGCCACGTGGGTCAGCTGTGGCCCACGATTTCAAAAATGATCCATTGAGTCCATGTGGGTCACCTGTTGCCCACGATTTTTAATGAAGTCTGTTCAGGCCACGTGGATCATCTGTGGCCCACGATTAAAGAAAAGTCCGTTCTGGCCGCGTGGGTCATATGAGGCCCACGATTTTTCTTCTGGTCTTTTCAGGATACGTGGATCACGTGTGGCCCACGGTTTTAAAAATGATCCAGTCAGTCCATGTGGGTCAGCTGTGTCCCACGGTTAAAGAAAAGTCCTTTCAGGCCACCTGGGTCATCAGTGGCCAATAGTTTTTGTACCTGTCCGTTCAGGCCACCGTGGTCACCGGTGGGCCCCGGTTTTGTACCCGTCCGTTCAGGCCACGTGGGTCACCGGTGGCCCACGGTTTTTTTTCTTGTCAGTTCATGCCACGTGGGTCACCGGTGGCCCAGGGAGTTAAAAAAGATCCCCATTCGGCCTACGTACGTCACCTGTGGCCCACGGTTGAACATAAGTCCGTTTTGGCCACGTGGGTCAGCTGTGGCCCACGATTTCAACAATTATCCATTGAGTCCATGTGGCTCACCTGTTGCCCACGATTTTTAAAGAAGTCTGTTCAGGCCACGTGGATCATCTGTGGCCCACGATTAAAGAAAAGTCCGTTCTGGCCGCGTGGGTCATATGAGGCCCACGATTTTTCTTCTCGTCTTTTCAGGATACGTGGATCACGTGTGGCCCACGGTTTTAAAAATGATCCAATCAGTCCATGTGGGTCAGCTGTGTCCCACGGTTAAAGAAAAGTCCTTTCAGGCCACCTGGGTCATCAGTGGCCAATAGTTTTTGTACCTGTCCGTTCAGGCCACCGTGGTCACCGGTGGGCCCCGGTTTTGTACCCGTCCGTTCAGGCCACGTGGGTCACCGGTGGCCCACGGTTTTTTTTCTTGTCAGTTCAGGCCACGTGGGTCACCGGTGGCCCAGGTAGTTAAAAAAGATCCCCATTCGGCCCACGTACGTCACCTGTGGCCCACGGTTAAACATAAGTCCGTTTTGGCCACGTGGGTCAGCTGTGGCCCACGATTTCAAAAATGATCCATTGAGTCCATGTGGGTCACCTGTTGCCCACGATTTTTAAAGAAGTCTGTTCAGGCCACGTGGATCATCTGTGGCCCACGGTTAAAGAAAAGTCTGTTCTGGCCGCGTGGGTCATATGAGGCCCACGATTTTTCTTCTCGTCTTTTCAGGATACGTGGATCACGTGTGACCCACGGTTTTAAAAATGATCCAGTCAGTCCATGTGGGTCAGCTGTGTCCCACGGTTAAAGATAAGTCCGTTTAAACCACGTGGTTCAACTGAGGGCCACGACTTTTCTTTAACCGCGGGCCACGGGTGACCCACGCGGTCTGAACGAATCTGTTTTTAAAAATCCCGGCTTAATTGGATTAGTAGCGTGAAAATAATTCGGCTCGTTTAATCACTTGCCGTTCAAGGAAATTCACTGTTGACGTGCCACGCACGTCTTTTTTTTTATTCTGCAACAATCTCCTGGCAACGTGTGTAACACGTCGTTCGCTTCGCGGTAACAGAAGCATCTTGACGTGCGTTGCACGTCTTTCCACTGCAAGTGGTTAAATAAAAAATAAAAAATTTGTTATTATTATCATTGTTATTATTATTATTATTATTCCTTTTTCGTTTATTCACTGAATAATTGGCTTCACGAGTTAGCCTAATGTCTTATGGACTATGAGGAAAAGCACGATCATCCCCTTTTATTTGTTACCACTTTCTATGTGGCTCTCTCTCTCTCTCTCTTTGTGTTTGCATGTGTGTGGGTGTGTGTTCGGGTGGGATACATAAAGCGTCCTAAACCTACACATAAACACACACAAACACACGTATACGCTCATACATTCTTGATAATTCAGTTTTTATTAGTCAACTAATTATATCGATTGTTTACTTAATTGGAAGCATCATTTATTTATTTTTGGATTAGAAGCATTAGTATCTTTATACAGGGTGATTCAATTGTTTACTGGCACACTTTCAGACTTGATAAAGAAAAATGAACGAAAGAAATTCAAATGGAAATAATATTAATAATAATAATAATAATAATAATAAT